TCTCTGTATTTAATTTTGTAAGAGCTATGAATAGGGAATCGATCATAGCTAATAGCTAAAGTAATTGTCACCAGAGCATTTGTCGTAAAACCGTCTGCAGGTAGTTCAGATCTTAGTTGTGCATCAAAAGGTCTTGGCATAAAAATTGTGTTGAAGTTCCTAGGAGGAAAATAAAAGAAACGTCATGAAAGTTTATTTGTGGGATATGTCATGTTAAACATCTCTCAAACTAATTAACTGAGTCTACCAGTCCATTTAAAAAAAAAATTTTTTTAGGGGGGTAGTCAACACTTTGAAATTTAAATTTTGAAATAGGCCTACTGATCTGAAATAAAATTCTAAGTTTCAAACATATTTTGGCCCATTGTAAAACGAGGAAGACAAAGTAGGGCCTATAGAAAATTGAGCTGGTTACCCAGGACGTAGGCCTATTGCAGGTTGACATTCATAAGGGGGAAAAATATAGGTACAAACAAAAGTATTCTAAAAAGGAAATGAAAATTGATTACAAGAGAAAAGAAAAATAAAAGACATGTATACGCCTACATGTCAAAATAAAAGTGTACAAAAAATAAAACTTTTACGGCAATCACTGGGATTTGAAAATCAAATAAGTCTTTAGACATTTATTTCAGAATAATTCAAGTACCCATACATGTACAGTTGTTTGACACCGTAGAACAAATAGAACATTCATACATGGGGGGGGGGGGGGACACACCCTGAAATCTCAAGAGTTTAATACTTGTCCTTCATCCATTCACTTTTTTTTTTCAGTCATTATTAGGCGTAACTTTAAGTTAGATCTCCTCATGCATGGAATTTGTTATTTTCATGACGAAATGAAATAGGTTTACAACCAACTCCATTATTATGCTAGCACTAGAATATGCTCTGCGCGAGCGTATGTGTGTGCATTGAAATTTATTTAATCAGGTTGATTAAAAAAAAGGGGGGGGGGGAAAGGCAGGGACAATTTATTTTGATAAGCAGATATTAACAGAAAAATATTGTTAGGGGTGACATGACTGGCGTATAAATGAGCCAATATTTTGGGGGGACTGCGCTATATCTACAGAAATTTGTAAGATTTATTTATTTGAATTTTTTTTAGGGGGGCAGCTGTCCACCCCCCACCAGACAAGTTGTACGCCAATTTTGTCTTTGTGTCAAGAGAGGCGTGACCTGAAGCCGAGAGTCAATAAAAATGATCATGAAACTTGAATAAAAGATGGGCTGAAACCTGAGCTAATTCCTGTAATAAAGAGAAAAGGATGTGATTGTGGATACACCCCCCCCCCCCACACCGATATATATTTCACTGTACTCACTCAGGTCTCTCTCAGTCACTGACTCACACTCACACACAGCCCAGGCCAAAATTGACTTTTTTAATTATTTTCTTAATCAGTATGCATATATAAAAATTAACAACAAACCTCTGATAATAATAAAAAATAATGTTCCTCGTCACATTCAAACGCCCACCAGATTAATAAAATTAAGTATTGAAGACCAACGAGTATGAAAAGACTAGTATCCATATACACGCACTGTGCAATTGCAATGCCGGTCGTACAACACATAAACTCAATAGCGTCTCCGCGGCAGCAACCGCAGAAATCTTTCGCGCGAAACTGCCGGGGATCACATTTTGGCTGAAATTTGCCCTACTTGGTGCACTCATACTGATATGTGGGCGTACCTGGGCTCGGTAAAACTTTCTTCCAAAAAATCCGAAAACAGTTCAATTTTGAAAAAAACAAACTTTGGAGACTGCCAAATTCTGCGCAATATGGATCTAGGATACATACTGACAAAGTTCACTCCGAAAATAGCGAAAACATCGACTTACCGAGGTGAAAAGTCTACAAACTAACGGCGTTATGGAGGTAGGTAGCAGACACCATCGCAATGATCAGAATCCGTAACTACTTCTCATATAATTTATGTTAATTTTATTTCTACAGGACCCGTTCACTTCAGGAAAGAATAATATCAATCCACCCCTTGTCGAAAGCATATGCAACGGGCGAGCTGCCAAAGCTTGAGCACACCGTATGTACAAAACGATGTACGTGCGCAAGGGCCCCCTCTAGTGCCGAATGACGTCCTCTAGTAAAGGAGCCCGTTTTCGGCCACTTAAGACAAAATCCTATTTTTAGGACCCTTTACTTCCTATTTATTATCATTTTTTGTTCAAATCATGAAGCAAATATTATTATTATTCAAACAAAAAAAGAATCCCAGAAAAAATCACGAATTGCCATGACAATATTCATTTCAATTTTCACTGTTTTGGAGCCAGTTATCGGCCGAGCGTTTCAGTTTACGGCCGCATGTACAAAGTCAATAGGAAGCGCTCGCGCGCGCCGTGCATTTCCGCGCTGATGAACAGCACAAGCGGGCGGAGCAGGTATCCCACGCCGGAGCTCCCTGGTGCTCGCCTGGCCGAAGACAGGCACAGCGGTGATCTGAAGTTGGAATCTGAATTAGACAGACATATCGTGTGTGCGTGGCAGGGTCCGGCTACATTGATTTAATACATGCGATGAGATACTTTTGAGCTTGCGACCAACACAAAATCGGGCTCTAAATCTGAAAAATACTTGAAATAAAGCTGATTTTATGGTACCCATATTTCTTACATACACGCGTAAGATACTCGATTTTTCAGATTCGGGTAGCGATTACATCGCTAAAATGTGATATTTTAGGATATATTTTTCATTACAAATGTGGTTCTTCAGTGACACTGGCATGGTATGGTATGAATGGGATATGTGTTATGCTATTATGCGATGTATTTTAGAGTGATTTTACCTTGCATCCAACCAATCGGCCGAAAACTGGAGCTGGCCGATTACCGGCTCCTTTACTCTAGGCACATTCATGGGGCACTAGAGGGCGCTTCGGTCGCGTACGAAAATCTGAATGGCCTTGCTGCGGTGGGTCGGCAATAATCAGCCCAAAACTTGGATATGGGAGGTTGGAAGGATATATCTTTTTTATAATGTTATCTGGTCTTACCCTTAACCATCCTATGTTTAATCTATGTAGGAATAACATGCGAGTATGATAAGAGAAACATCGGGACCATTACTGAAGTAACTTTTGAAATATTAGCCTAGAAATGACCACCAAACGGAAAAAATTGACATTTTTTCCCAACAAATCTTCATAAAATCTGAGTTATAAACAATTCACATCTAGGTACACTAATACAAATACGATTTTCTGAAAATTCAGGTATGATTTTTTAAGTTTCTTTCAAGTATATTTCTGCGCATTGCAGCGCAAATATTCTTCACTGCTTCAAAATCACCCTTGATTTTTTTTTTTGCAACGAATTTGATACGAGGTCCGCGAGTGTTCCCCGTTCCTTGTGTGTTGAAAGTTTGGTAATACATAGTTTGCATTGACTCGCGCACGAAAAAATGGTCAAAAACAAAATGTCAAATGAAGAAATAAACAAGCTTTTGTATAGTTATAAGAGTTCTACCGAGGTTTCTTTGTCGATTTAATTTATTATATAGTCTCAATTAGAATTCAGAATTATCTCACTGAAAAGTTAAGAAACCGACGATGTTCTCGATCGTAGTTATTTTCATTTTGCCAGCAGCCGATCTAGCGTTGTTTGGGCAAAAGGCTAGGCCGCTGCCTTCCCACCGCGAACCTTTCCGAGTCCCGCTAAAATGGCGCGCTGCGGAGCTCCGAAGCTGCGTTGGTATCGCTGCAAACTCTCAGCCGGCTAGCTCACCACGACGGACCATTCGCGGTCTGGTGAGAGTGTGTGTATGAGGTATGATTTTGGATTCGAGAACGCACGTAACGCAACCGTGCGCGTCATTTAGAGCTGTCGAATGTGTACGACCAATTTTACATGTACGATTTTTAGTACAGATACTTGGTCAGTTTTCTTCTTATATCTTTGGTTTTACAACATTTAAAAATATAATTTCTTCAAATCTGCTCCTGACTCGGTTCAGACTAATTGTCTGATGTGTTTTCAAGTCCATTTTTGGAATATATTTTTTTGCATGAATTTGCCTATCTATGGTGAATTTTTTAATAAAACTAACATTTCTGTTTTGAGTGAAAAACAATGTGTCTCATAAATCTCATATATCCCAATGGTTAACAAATTCCAATTCCAAAATCCAGAATCTATTGGAGGACAGCAATCTAAGATCCGAGAAATACATCTCTGTCCGACTGAACCGACCCAGCATTATCTCCCCTCACTACTGAGTCTAAGTGGAACAACTGTCAATATCCGAGACTAAAGCTTTTGGTCTAAATGACGCCCAGCAGTAAACTCCAAAGTCATATATTTTTAAACAAATTGTAAAGGGGCAGTGAGAGAGGGGGGGAAGGGAGAGAGAGAGAGAGAGAGAGAGAGAAGGAGAGAAAGTGAGAGAGATGGAGAGAAAGAGAAAGATAAGAGAAAGTGAGAGAGAGAGAAGGAAAAAGAAAGAGACAAGATAGAGGGAGAGAGAGAGAGAGATCGAGCATGCGTGACAGAGTCAGAGAGAAACAAGAGAGGAGGGAGATGGGGGGGAAGCATGAGACAAAGTTGATTCGACACCTCTCATTCCTTTTCCAGCTTAGTCGCCTTACCCATCCACCCCCTCTAATAATAATAATAATAATAACAAATATACATGTTTAGCGTCCCCGCCCGCTTTCTTTTGGGGGGCCGCCTCCTATTTTTTTTTTTTTGAAAGAAAAAAAGCATGAAAACACTGCTAAAATGGATCTATTTCTGATTATTTTTTTTTAAATAAAAAATATCGGTGGCCATCTTGAAGAAAAAAAGGGCCGCCTCCTTCCTATTTTTCAAAAAAGCAGGATGCTAAACATGTTTATTTTTTTATTTGGCCTTAGTTAGAATAAAGACTTAGGAATAGGTTGTAGAGGGCCATTCAACAGGTCTGTTCCTGATCATTTAAAGCTCATCAAATCTTTCCTCCTTTTCTTTTGACTCTTTTTAATGACAGGAAGGAAACAGTTTCATTGTCCAAGATCAGGTTGCCTTTGCTCAGCTTCTGCTCCCTCAGTACTTCAAGCACAACAACATGGCGAGTTTCATACGTCAACTCAACATGTGTAAGTAGACCATGAAGTGGTGGATTGTAAAAGAAGGCCTTCCCAATCCTTCCAACCCTCCGTAGAACCCTAACCGGTCTTTCTCTTGATTCTCCTGTCTCTATGTAGCTTGAGATACATACATGTAGCTCCATTGTATATATTGAATATGAAAGTAAAATTATTTTAGTTTTGACTCATCCCACATCTAAAGTAACATCACTAAAACTCCTGAAGGCCTGAAATGTATTAAGCTTATATTCCTGTTTTACTCCCTTTTCCCTTTTATGTTCCTGTTTTACTCCCCTTTATGTCTTCATCTTATTATTGATACAGATGGTTTCAGAAAGAAAGCACACTTGGATGATGGGGCGCTGAAAACAGAACGAACTGACATTGAATTCCAACATCCTCATTTCTTGAAAGGAGAAATTAAGCATCTTGAAAAGATCAAGAGAAAGGTAATACAGTTTTTAAACACTGTTGATGTTCCATGCATTTTAACTACGGTAGTCAATTCCATTGTTGTATGCATGATAGAATATGACAATATGACATCAAGATTTTATTATCCATGAATAGTAATATAAATTTGCATTGTTTGTATACATTATGCAAAAATACACACAGAAAGTGAATGGAATAATGATGCTGTCAATATGTAATGATGTATTGCATAACAAGACTCTTAGCCTCTGATTAATTAGTCAAAACTGCAGGCATGAAAACTCACTACTTGCACCTACATGAGACAATAGATGCGCATGAAGTTAACAACGATTAGCCTATATATGCTCAGTGAGAAACATGCACTGCCCATAGAATTGTAAATTCCTTGACAAAATAAATATATTTCAAAATTCCATATGTATTCTTGAAAAATACCATTTTGAGGATCCACACACCAGGTACAGCATATACATGTACATGTATAACGTATAGGCCCTAATCCACAAAGGACATTTAAATTCAACCCATGGTTTAAACCCTCGTGTAACCCATGGTTTAAAATTAGCGCAAATTCAGCGCGACACAGTCAAAGGTCCAATATGAGACGCAAGATAAGGTACGCTTGATTCGCGCTGATTTTAAACCATGGATTATGTAAATGAGGGTTTAAAACATCAACATTGTTTGTATTACCTTTGAAAAAAAGAGAGAGAGAGAGAGAGAGAATAATTTGGAAGTAGTTAAACTACAAATTCATTTAACCTTTGCATCTATTTTTCCATTGTCTTCTTGGAAGGTGTCTGGTAAAGATGACTCCAAAGTTAAAACCAATGAAGTGGGCAAGATTCTGAATGAAGTAAGAGAAGTGAAGGGCAAGCAGAATGATATTACAGCGAAACTGGAAACAATAAAAGAGTAAGAAACTATTCATATTTTTTCGCATTAGCAAATTTATTATTTTAATTATTGAATTACCAAATACATTCTAAAATGAATTAATGATTGTTTCTCAGAATAACTTACCGACCGAGTGGTTGAATGAAGAAAGAAGGAATGAATGAATAAGTAACCTGCGAAATATGAATTAAAGTATTTACTCTGTCTTCGGACATGCCGAATTGATTGACAGGTTTATTCTATAAAATGATTAAATGATTATAACATCTGTTCGGAGGCAGAAGGGTGTTGACTCTGAATAAATGTGTATGACTTAATAATGCCCCTCTGGCTCCAAACAGGTGATATGACTGAATGCTTACAAATAGATTGAATTCTCTTTTTTTAACTTACGGCAAACATGCCAGAGGTCGTCGAGCAGTGACTTAGATAGATCAGTTAGAAAAGGACTCCCAAAGATCATGGAGAATAGAACTGAATGGGGGAAAAAAAAACTTGTCAAACCAGTGCAAGTACTCTGGGCCTAGTAATAAGGATATATGAAAATGTTAGTTATCTTCATGGGAAAGGTTTCTTTTGCTCTTTCTCCCTATAATGAGATACAGGTAGTCTTTATGATCAGCAGCCAATCTTAATACTTGGAGTTACAGCAACATTGTTTCTTGAAAATCAAAAGTTCAGTCTGCAGGCTGAATCGATAGCAATATAAATGAACTAATGGACAACTGTAGTCACAAACCAAGAAATTGCTTTATTTATAATCAGTAGATAAAAGAATGTGAAGTTGAGAGCTCTCTGTGCATTTAAATGTTTCCTCAGAGAAAACACAGCGCTGTGGCGAGAGGTGGTTGGTCTACGTCAGAAGCATGACAAACAGCAGAAGATAGTCAACAGACTCATCCATTTTCTGATCACCCTTGTCCAACCTAAACCTAAAGTTGGAAACACAAGAAAGAGACCGTAAGTAGGCATAACAAACATTTATTTGGGGTTTTAATAACTTTTCTGATTAGGACATGTTTGATTTATTGTGGTTTCATTTTAAAGACAGTTAACATTTTCCACAGAGCCGAGCAAGAGATATATCTCAGGAACCATGGTCGAAGGGTTATGTGAGTGGAACGTGAACGCTTCATCAAACTAGCCATTGTCAAAATACAAGATCACATTAACCCTTGCAATTCCGCAAGTCCACACACATGTATCACATAGACCATGATAGACAAGTACCAGTTTATTTCCATTGTTTCTCTTGCTACTAATATTATCTCATGACATTCAGCATCACGTTTCTGGAACCCAGTTTGGATATCACAAACAAAAGATGAATATCATCTTTTTCTCCTTACAAAGAGACATGATATCCAAATCTGATGATTAAATGCTGTATGGCTTATACAATGTTTCGCATAATGTTCAAAGAATCGTAAAATTGTTATATCAGAGGTAATGGCAGATTTTGCGTCATGATTTTCCTTTGAATTTGTGGCTCATATGATCTTTCTTCTAGGCATGTCATGTGTATTTGTGTCTTGCTACTTTTTTCCCCAAGGAGAGGTGTTTTTTTTTTCTTGCCTTGAATAAAATTTGGATGTTATTTCTTTATACTGCAGATTAAACCAGTTGATGATTGAGGGATTTGCTGATACTTCTCCTCCCAGTAAAGCAAAGTTTAGTCGGACACTCCCTGGAAGTCCAGCCCTTGAAGAACTTAAATTCAGAGATATGAAGGAGGTATGTAATATTAGTTTTGCATGTATATCTATTGTATTAAAGGTAATACAAAGTTTTGGGAAATAGAAAATTGGTTGGATCATGATTCTTTACAATTTTGACATATTTGAATGCCCCTGTGGATGTTTTATAAGCACTAGAAAATTTAGCCCCTAAAACACTTCTGCTTTCAAGAAAAATTGAAGATTAAAATTTACCGGTACTCCCAGTAAATTTTGATAAATTTCAACTTTAGCGCCTGCGACCATGAAAATCTCAGACTATGTAGTTGAGATATATAATTTCCAAACTGGAATAGCTAATCGGTTGATTTTATTCAAGAAACATTGTTTAATAGCTTTATTAGTATCTTGACATTGAGAGGGAGCTATACAACATAAAGAGTTTATTATTTACAATTCCATAACTTTAGACTCGATTTCAAACGCGACAACGATCACTGAATATTGTAGGATCGCATATGCATCCAAAAAAGTTGTGTATTGTTGCGTCATTGACCAGCATTTGAGTCGGCTTTTGATTAGAGCAAGCTAGTGGTATAGAAATCCACAAAACTATCTTGTGGATATGATATGATTTTTTTTTTAACCAAAACCTGTCATGAAATCTACATCTTTGGCTTTTCATAGAATTGTCTTTCATTGTCTTTGACATGTAGCTACTTTTAGTTTTTATGCAGGCATGAAATAAAGGAACATAACCTTTATGAGTTTAGTCCTATGTAGTCCTGTACTATGGCACTTTTGCTAAAATGTTTTGAAAAGGATAAGTGGATATCAACGAGATGAAGCCCCATTTCAGATCAACACAAGAAGATTGTGTTTTTGCCATATTACCTTGTGACCATTTGCTAGGACTAATCCCTGTGGAGGGGGGGGGGGGGTGATGTACCCATTCTATGACTAAATGAATCTAATTAGTATAAAAGCACCTGCTAGCATATTTTGATTGAGTGCTATAGCAGTCCATATGTATTCATTTTTTTACTTTGGTATTTTTTCCCCAGAAGGACAGCAACCTGGAGTTTTTAAGTGGAGGAGACAGTCCTACACTCACTGACATAATAGACAATGCCCCATATGAGTCAAAGGTCACTGAACTATTAGAGGAACAGGAGGATGATCTCATTCCATCGGACATCCAATCAAGCACGGATAGAATCCCTAGCACACAAGGTCAAGCCATCATTAACCAAGGATCACAGGACAATCAAGCTAACGCCACACAACTCTTAGGTCAAGGGTACGCTATGAACCAGGACACCTTCGTGATTCCTACTGTCGTTTCAAGCCTTGACAATGTGACAAGTAACATTCAGACTGAAAGCGTTGAGTCTACCAACATCCCGGTGCTGGCAGCTTTAAGTCCAGATGTGACGTATCCTCAGACCCCTGGAAGTGATGACATTGGATGGCTAGATATGGCCGAGGATTGCTCAGCTGACGGCATCGGTCTGGAGGATGCGGGAGTAGCAGAACTTGTGGCCCCAACTACAGATGAAGTCCTACCGGCTGTTGGGCATGAAGGGTTGTTTGGACCAGGGGAAGGGCAACTTGTCCTCACAAGCGATTCACCCACCAATGAGAACAAGCAGTCACAGAATAGCCCTAACAAATTCTTGCTACAGCGTATGTTGTCCCATGAGGAGCAGAAGTAAGTGTACCATACCATCTTTGTTCTCAACTCATACTTTTTATCTGTATTTGGACGTAAATGGTCTATAAAAATAAACAGATTCTTCTATATCAAGCCTGTGAAAAGAACAGAAAAATGCGAAGCAATACATTTGTGTGATATATCCTCTTCATGTGTTAGCACTGGATTTACTGGCGTTGTGCAACTTGCTTTTTTTGTTATATAATCTATTGACTGCCTTGGTGGATTTAAAAAAAAGAAGAAGACATATCCGTGTTTAAGTGGCATTTAACAAGGCTTGAAGAAGGATTAATAGATGGATGGGGGAAGTCAATATATCTAATTCTTACAAGTGTGGATGTATTTAGCTATTCTCTGAGCTATATTACACAAACCACATCTGTCGCTTATTAGCAAGATCAATATGTGGTTTCTGTTTCTTTCATATTTCTGTTCGAGGCAAGACCTAGGTGATCAACTCAGCACAGTGCAGTCAAATCTGAATGAATTCAAGCAAATGATTACAAGCAATCCAACCCTTCACTACGAGCTGGGTGAACTTCTAAATGTAAGTATAACAGGGCCCTCAGGGAGAACAGTGTATGTGACTGATGGGGCTACCCTGTATAAATAAGACTTAATGATGATGACGATGTTGATGATAATGGTGATGATGATGATGGGGATGGTGATGATAATGATAATAATTATAATATTAATGATGATGACGACGATGATGATGATAATGGTGCTGATGGGGATGGTGATGATAATGATAATACAAGCGCCATGAGCACCGAAAGGTGGACCTGTGCGCTATACATGTAGCCACTATTATTATTATTATTATTATTATTATTATAATAGTAGTAAATTCTTGTATAGCGCTCCTGCCTGTCAAGTTACGCATGACTACGAACAGCTTGTATATGAAGTGCCAGATAGGATGCCCAAATTTTTTCCTGATGTTTTAACAAAGTGTGACTATATTTCCAATAACTGCAATCAAGTTATGGCAACAAAAAAACTTTGCATTAAAAATGTTTGTTATAATAAGAATGTTAATCTACATCTGCACAGTTCAACTTTAGTTGATGCAGTTAATAATGATTGAGCATCCTGTTTGGCTTTTCATATGAAAGTCATTCGTAAAGTCATGCGTAACTTTACGAACAGCTTTATGAAAGACCCCCTCCTCTGCAATTATTACTCTGGCTTTACTATGGCTCCCATTATGAAGCTCTAGCATTTTAAGTTATTAATTCCTGCAAGGTACCCATTTACATCACATGGGTCAAAGGGACATTAGTGCCATGGCAGGACTCGAACAGCCAACCATGTGATATCCACTAGACCATGACACCTCCACAATATTGACCCTATTTGTTGTGGTTTGTGTCAGTATCTCTCAGAAGAAGTAGTACATCAAAGAATATTGACAACCATCAATCAGAGGAGACAAAGTGTCAGTTCTGGTTCATACTATCAAATATTTAATATTTCTTCACGTACAAAGGATTATTGTTATAGGATATTTCTTCCCGTTAAATCATCAATATTCTCATATCTTTCTTCTTCTTTGTTTGTTTTTTGTTTTGCTGCAGGAATTACCCATTTTCTTTGATGAACCAAGCTCCATGACAATGCCAGATGCTCTCACAAATTTTGTAAGTTCAAGGGATTAAGCTATATGCCTTGGTTTAGGTCCTATTTGGTTCAGCGTGATCTAAACACATTGTATTTAGATCTTAAACAGTCATGAATATGCAAAAGTACATCCCCCAAACCTATTATCATTTTCATATCTACAAGACCCACTAATTTTATGAAATCATCTTTATCAAATTGTGACTTGAGTTGCAAAGGTAAAGAAACCAACCTCATTTACATTGCTGACAGATGATGTAAACTATTTATTTATTCATTTGCCTCAGGAGCTCCAGGAGTGAGTCCCCATGGTGGATGCACAGACCTGCCAACCAGTACGATTTAGTCGTATTTAGTACAATTTTTAGAAGCAAATACAACAGTACAATTTTTCTGAATAAAATACAATTTTCAAAACAATTTTTTCTTTTTTTTCTTTTTTTTTTTTTGTTAAATTTTTTTTAATTTTTTTTTTTTTGTTGATTTTTTTTGTTGGTATTTTGTGTGTGTGTTAGCCACTTTCAATGGCAAAATGCCCATTCTGTGCTATAAAGTATCCTACAAGCATCTCACATCAGCAATTTGGGGATGTTCATTGGTTCATCGAGCACAACAGTCGTGACGAAATCATGCATATTCAACAAATGATCCATAAAAAAATCGATCCGCGCAACAGTCCATGTTTATTTTGAAGAATACAACTTCTGTCAGTAAAATACAACTTTTGGGATTAAAGAATACAGTTTTTGAACTCCAGAGAATGGCAGGTCTGGATGCATCCCAATTTACTCATTTTACTCATTTTGTGTACCTGTATATAAATCTTCAAAATATAGAATCAAACTGGTTATCCTTTCATTTGGGATGACTTGGGACGTGGCCTACCAGAGATTAGAAAGTAGACGTATTCAGTTTGACGAGGATGAAGACAGACTTTCCTCCCTCCAGGGAGTTGATCTTGTGAAGGCTTTGGATGGGAACCTGTTTGTTATAAAAGCCAAACTATAGATCAATTTTTATTTTAATCTGTTGGATTATGCAAATGGTTTTATTTCCTTCATAGAAACTTTCTTAAATCTTACTGGAGGAGAAGACAAATAAGCAGTTGTTTAGAGTTATAATGATTAGAATATTTCTTCTTTATCCAGGTTAGCCTCTTCAGAATATGTATTTTTTCTCCCATAGGGCCTTGCAATCATATGATATTAGATTTTAATCTTGGAATTATCCTACATAATTTCTCAGTGAGCAGCTAAAAATCTTAAATATAATCTGTATTTTCTTCTTTTAGGTTGGTCTGCAGAGTGAAGATAATGGGGAGAATGATGGTTTATCCTCTGATGTGATATCAACAGGTTTGTGAATGTTTCCATACATGACTTAGATATGACTAAATGGATTATATTATTTTCCTAAACATGTTAAAAGATGAAATTGAGTATTGATCATGCAGTTATTGTTTTGAAGCAATTGGGAAGGTCTGATTTTGTACTACATTAGAAGCGATATATACTTTGGGGTTCTAGATTAATCTAGAATGATCAAAATTGGAAGAAAATTACTCAAATCTCGCTGAAAAATCACAAGCACTGCACGCAAAAAATGGGTATATGGGACTGAAGAAATATGTGAAATGAAAGTCAAGTCCAACCTTTTCAGCTATTTTTCATCTCTTTGAATATGAGGGCATTTGAAGAGCAAACCTTTTCTGTGGACATCTCTGCTATGATATGCTTCCACACTGACATGAATAGATTGAGGAAGCACACAACCATAACTCAAACTATTCTTCAGTCTTATGAATAGAGTTTTACTGCAGCCAATTTTCTTAACTAGTATGAAGTGGATATTGTTTTGCCTTTCTTTATGGCACACCATATATGTTGTATGTTTTTCATGTTTGCTAATTATCGATAAGGGATCTATCATGGATCTTTGACCTATGATATTAAAATTGGTGTCCCATTCGTTATTACTGAGTATTGTGGAGTTTTGAACATACATAATCATCAAATGTGTCATTTTACTTCATATTTGGTCCAATCTAACCTCCAATAGAGCTACATGTATTTACTTGATACAATGATCAGATGTACTCATAGATGTGATCGGTATGGGACCAAATAGCTTTGGCTTGCCCAGTAGTATATGCATATGAATGATATGTCCATATTGAATACATTAGTAATACCAATACTGTTCTTTCTTCTCAGGGAATGAGTTGGTGACGTACAAGCCTTCAACATCAAGTGCATCTCTAGGATCATTCATGGCCGACGATGAGGATTCGTTACTCCGATCTCTAGACGATGATTCTCAAGCGCTCAGAGAACAGAATGAGAACGATGGCATAAGCTTCCAACTGTGATCCCAGCAATGGAATATTCAGTGGTATCTCTTCAAAACATTCAAGAAGTTATTCATTTTTCTGCTTGCAAGCACCAATTGAAGTACATTTAACTGTCAATCTATCAATCTAATAGTGCAGATAGTCTCAAACTATTGGTGAGAATTATGTTCCCGTGATATCAAGGGGGACGGGTGTCCCTTCTTTTCTTTCCTTTTTATATTTGTGCAAGATGGGCAAGATGCCCTCGGAGTGAATGTTGATCTTTGTTAATGTTAACATTCATATTGTTTATGCATGTACATGAATGTTAGGCTGAGAGCATGGTATAGTCATCAAAATGGTAAGCATGTTACTTAAACTGGGCGGAATGTTTCAAAGACCCAGCCTCTTTTAAACCACTAAATTAAGTAAACTAGAATATCAGAACATCTTAAATAGAAAGATAAATCGTATTCAGAGTTCTATTAAGAAGCCTGAAACAAGATGACAGTTCTGTTGTTCAGTGCTAGCCTTGTAGAGAGTAATGCTGTATAAGCTCATACATGCCAACTGTTCAGATTAAAGAGGAACATTCCTCTTTTTGGGAGAAGATAATTATCATTTTAATGCAGGTGTTCCTCTTCCTGTACAAATTTGTCTGTAGTATTGAATAGGAGAGTTAGGATTGTTCCTCTTTTTTTTTTAAATAGCATAATTTGTACAGATTTCTGATTTTCAAATGTTGGCATGTATGTAAGCTTTACAGTATCTAGCTCAATTATTTACAACGAGCATGAAAACTTAAATCTATTCCAGAATATGATATTGATAGCTGTTACTGGCTTCAGAGCTAAGTATGTATGATTAAAATTGAAGGAAAAAAACAAACGATGATATTAGATTAGATATTATATTCAATGAAAAAGAAAAGGAGTTTGTAAATGTCTTTTGTGCCAATACAGATCGGGGGAAAAAATTACTATTGGCATCCATTAGAAGTACAAGAAAAAACATATTGACTGAATAAAAATGAAATTGACTTCATTGCGTAAAGTATTGAGTTGCCACGTTATCAAAATAATCAGACTATACCTTGCCAATGTTATTCAGATATATTTTGTTGCTGCACTTATGTTCTGTATTATTATTATTTTCATTTTTGTTCTCTCATATTTTTTTTAAGTGTTGGTGTGTTTAATGCTCTAGTAGTGTGTCAACGGAACAATGTATATATCATCTGAACCTGTCGATGGCATGTCTTGAGTAATTACCATCTACACTGTTGCACATAAAGTTGGAATAATTATTTCTGACCTCATTTCATGAAGTGATTGATTGTGACAATATGGTTTATTCTTGATATATACAGTTTATATCATCTCAGAACTTTTTTTCTCAAGAATACCCCACATTGTCACAATCACTTCAAGAAAAGAGGAGGGGAGGGGGAGAGGGGGGGGGGGGATTATTCCCAATTAATGGGTACTAGTGTATATCTTGTGCATGATATGGTCATGAATGTCACACATTCAGCTTGTACAAGAATACATGTATATTACTCATGTAAAATAAATTTGAAATATAAATGTAAATTATTTGCTCATATTGATAAGAATGAAGAAAGTTGAGTATTAAGAAAAGACAATCTAAACATGCTTCATGCGAGAGCATGGTGGGTTACATAATCTATGTAAGACAATGATTATTCATCATATCGTCCTTGTTTTCACGAAGTGACGGTAGTGAGGAAAATCGTAACGCAAAGTGAATGCATTTTTTTTTCACTACCGTCACTTCGTGAAAACAGCGACGATATGTCACTCATGCGGCTTCATTAGTTTTGTCCATACTGAAATTATGTAAATATGTTTAACAAAAATGTATAAATCTGTCATATATTTTTAATAACATATTTGTATTGCTGTTTTATGCCTTGTCGCATTGGAATTTAGAAGTGTATCTTGAATTTTGATAATGAAAGTGCACTTCTTAAGAAATCGTTGTGCAGTTATTCAGATTGTAAATCCCATAGTGACAAAGAATCCTAATGATGTCTTGGTGGTTTTTTTATTTTAGCAATTTTGGAGCACAACATTTGAATTTGCTGAGACCTACTTAAGATGAAGAGAACCAATATGGCTTCAAACATGTCGGACAAGATATTGCATTAAAATTGTGAAAGTCCAGAGGTATATGTACTTTACCTATTACCAACATGTGGTACATTAAATTATGTTTTCCAAGATTTAGTGCTAATTCTATTGTTATAAATGCTTCCCTACTTCCTTATTAAAGGGACCCATCATGACTTTTCTCTGTTATGGTCCACTGGTGGTTTCTCACCAGAACACTGCCATAATATATATAAAATCTCTTGTTGACATAACATGTACCGTATGTGAGCATGTGAATCGATCAGTCTTTGGGATTATTGTATCTGGGTCAGTTAGAGAGCAGGTTTCAAAATGTTGTCATTCTAAGACTTTCAGATTTCAGGATGAGTTGGTAAACCATTGATAGTTGCATATTTGCTACTGAAGATGGATGGAATGGTAGAACTGGAAGAATAACTGGTAGCATAATCATGGCACATCATACATGTAGATAAACAAGATAGCCTTGAGGCTAATAGCATGGCTATATACAAATCAAATACAATTGAACAAGTTGCAGCAGGTATTTTGCTCTGGTTGGCTTGCTGTAGAAGGCCTCGTGTTGTTTGTGATATATATATCATTTTGTTCTACAATGATCAAGCAACAGCTTCCTTCCATGACTTCTTTTGATCTGTTGGAAGCAATGTCATCAGTCCATGCTTGATCTTTATAAAAGACTGATGGTTTAGTTTTGAAACTTCTCAAAACCAATAATCAAATATGTATGTAGAAAACAAAATGCATGCTTCGATGTGGGGGGAATTGGAGAACTGTCACATATTGTGTGAATATTAACAGGAGTAAACTGCTGATTTTGTTGTAAATAAAAGAACAATCAGACAACTGCATTCAATGTGCCAGTCTTCTTGAATGATGCTGGAGTAGAGTTATAGGGATAGGTTTTCATTTGATCGGACGAGTGATAGAATGATGTGAGAAGTGGTGGAGTAATGAGAGAGGTGATGAATGATGAGACAAAAATAAATAAATTCCAAAATGTCCATTTCTATCAATTTTTATTTTTATTTTTTATATTTAACCAAAAAAATGAGGGGGGGTCATAAAAAAAATCACACACATTCAAAAAGAATGGGGGAGAGAGAGAGAGGGGGAGGGAGAGAGATTAAATCATTGAGTTTGATTGTCCATAATATAATAATAACACAGAAAGAGGAGAGGAAGCTAGAGGGGTAAATGAGAAAGAGAATTAGTGAAAGACGGTAGAAAGACAGATATTATGATCCTAGAATATGTTAGTTTACTATAACAACCTCATCATTCTATCTCTCTCTCGCTCTCTCTTTCTCCCTCTCTTGCTCTCTCTCTCTCTCTCTCTCTCTCTCTCTCTCTCTCTCTCCCTCCCTCTCTCTATTTCACTCTTTCTCACCGTCTCCCATTTTATTCACTAGCTGCATTTCAGTTTTATTTCACACTTTTACTTTTTAGGCCTACCCCTAGCTTTTTCACAATTTGCTTCAAACCAAAAGAGGAGCTTGTGGCAAAGCATTGACAGATGACCGTGACACCGACCAGAATGAAAACTGATTAGCAAAGATCAGAATTAGTTCAATTCAATTCTTTTATTCATCCAAATTCACAAAAATATATGGAAATTTGTTTTGGTCACAGTCATTGTAGGAATACGTAATATATATATATATATATATATATATATATATATATATATATATATATATATATATATATATATATATAAGTTTAAACGGTTAACATCTCAGATATTATAAGACTGTAAAAAATTCCCTCTCATCAATCAACGCCTATGTTATAAACAAAATTCCATCCTATCTTTCCAATGTTATGTAAGAAGAAAAACTATAGTTCTCATTGTTATGTTTTTACATAACAATGAGAATAATCTAACTTATCATTCTGTTTTCTTTGACATTCCGCTCCTTCAATCAACGACTATACTTAAACAATTCTCTCTGGGCTTTCTTTACTTATGCATTATCCCTATATCCTATACGTTTAATTCACCCCTCCCACCCCCCCCCCCCCCTCCTCTCCCTCCCTCTCTCTGTCTCTCTCTCTCTCTCTCTCTCTCTCTCTCCCTCACACACTATCTTTCTCTCCCCCCCCCCGATCCTCCTCCTCTTCCTCCTCCTATTCCTCCTCGTTTGTATTTGAGTGCCTGTCTCTCCTTCTACATGCCATTTTCTGTAATTATTTGGCCTACTTGCTTGATTTTTGGTCGAAAACATCACTTGATCTTTTACCGTCGTTTTGTCCACTTTCCCATTTTTCTGTTTTCAAGTTGTTATCATATTATTTCATTTGTCCTAACTCTTGTCTCTTTTCATATATACCAATAGTACATGTATAAAGGACGAACTGATGAACTGATGTGTGAGATCGAAATGTTAGACCTTACTAGAAAATGACATTCAACCAAATAGCAAATAGGTTATGCAGGCGCGGATCCAGGATTTTCACATAAGGGGGGGGGGGGAGCGAAAATTTGAAAATCGCGCAGACTGTTATTTCACCTCAACTTACCAATATACTGACAAGGTCATATTAAAAGCACCATGTACCGGTACATACAAGCGAGCACAATTTTGGAAAGGGGGCAGGCTCAAGTCACGTCTCTTGTCCGATATCAACATTCCCCGCGTTAAAGTTATGCTTGCGCGCAATTTTTTTTGACATTTTCATCAGGGGGGGGGGGCTGAAGCCACTTGCCTAAATATCAATTTTCTGGGTTCACAATTTGGCCTGCGAGCGAAAAATTGAGCATGAGTATGTAGTGAAAGTGTTATTTTGATAATATCACCAAAATATTCGAGTTAAGACATTTTTTTAAAAAATGCATATTTGGTCAGCTCGTAATTTTTCAATTTGCGGGGAAAGAGAGGCTGTACCCCGCATATTAACTGCAGGTGTTAAGAAATGAAATTTGAATCCTTGTGGAGTAAATAAAGAAACAGCTCTAGCTCATCCATGATTACAAGGAAAAATTCCATTTATTTGGAAATCCAGAACAATTAAACTCTTGTGGTGCTATATAAGTATTTCATGACTGTCAAAATATATTTAACACTTTCTTTATATCTTTACATATTTATATTCATGAATGACTTTATCACTAACGGTTCTCTTAAAAATACCAACGTGCTGAGTTATTCGCTACAACCATTATAGCAATGTGAACTTCCGTTTATTTGGAAATCCAGAACAATTCAACTCTTGTGGTATTATGTGTTTCATAACTGTCATAATATATTGAACACTTTCTTTATATCTTTACATATTTATATTACTTTATCACTCTCGTTCGCTTACAAAATACCAACGTGCTCATATTACTCCGTATTCATTATGAATACAATATAAATATTTAAAACAAATCCGCATCACCACCACTGTAATATGCAGGCCCCGCGGAACGTTTTTCAAAGTTGATGGGCGAGGGGCTAAAGTATTTACGATCAGGTAGAGCGTAGCGAGCGAAGCGAGTGAAGTGTAAATTGGCGTGGGGAAAAGCCCCAGCAGGGGGTCAAGGGGAAGACCCCTCGGAAGCTCAGGGGTTTTAGGCATATAATTACGGTCAGATGAGCATATTTTGATCCCGGGTTCTGATACCTCATTTGTGACACTGGCCGGTCACAATTTTTCTTTTTCCTTTCTTTCTATTTTAATATCTTAAACATACTTTTTCAAAAAGTAAGGGGGTGGCTCGAGCCCCCAAGCCCCGCCGTTTCGCGGGCCCTGACATGTAGGCTTCTTAATTAGCAAATGTTGGCCTGACTATAAACTTGGAATTTTTTCATTTTCCAGCAAACAGATATAAAAGCATAATTTACAAAACAGTAAGAAAATATCCCGGAAAATCATGTCATTTCAGCAAAATTTGTAAATCATTGGTATCGAATTAGAAGTAAGCCACGTTTAAATTAAACCACGTTTGAATTTTATTTGGGGGGCACGCCCCAAAGCCCTACCCCCCCCCCCCCCCCCCCCCCCCCCTTGTCATGTTCTATAGACACAGGCCAGGTCATGGTGGAAAAGTCCTCATCCCTGGAATGGGATGTTTATAATGTGTAGAAAAGTTCCCAACCTATAAACGTTATAATGAAAACTTATGGTAAACAAAAACCCCACTGTACTCTTCATAAGAGATTAGGGGTGGGGTCAGAGATGGTGGTGGTTGAAACCTTCGACACAGGGCTTGCACATGACATCTCGATCATTCCGTGACGAAAAACCAGAAGGTTATACAAAATGAATTCTTCCCACCCTATAGGCATACATACATGCATGAGCGTACGCAGAGGGGGGGGGGGGATTTAACCCTCCCCCTCAATTTCGTTTATGTGTGTGTTTTGGAGGAAACCCCCACCCCCCACAATTAAAAAAAAATTGTGCTAAAAGGGTGACAAAAAGAGTATCCCCCCTACTGAACGGCAAATTTTTTCAATTTCCGGAACAAAACAAAAAAAAACGTGCTCTTACCCTCCACCCTCCCCCCCCCCCCCCCCCCCCCCGCTTATTCAGCGGCTGGCTGAGTCGTTGCGAAATTTTCGGCGCGATTTTCACATTTTAAAACCCCCCGTCGAAAAAAATCCTGCGTACGCTACTGAATGTATAACACAACATGTTTAAAAATGTTTTTTTTTTTACATAATATATGTAAATATAATAACGAAACTTAATACTTTCATAACATAATCATAGATTTAAAGAATTATCCGAACTATTATGTTGGAAAAGTACAGGATAACGCAATCATAAGCGATGCTTGACAAGGATGGCGGCCTAAAAAAAAGCAAAACAAAATCTTAAGGTAAAACTTAGAATGAAAAAGTGTTTAAACGATGAATCTCAGAATACAGCCCGGAAGGGGAAAGAATTTGTTGGTTTCTACGTCATTTTAGGTAAGTGCTCTTCACAAATAACTTAATCATTCTCACAGTACTCACCCCTAAAAAATATTGAACACAATTATTTTGAAGAAGTTGCTTGAGAAGTTGTAAGAGGGGGGTAATTTATCGCATATGGTGGTAACGGATAACACATTTCCCGTAACCTATTCAAAACATATCGAATCTTTCCATCGATAAGGGCTCGCAATTCATTCGTGAAGGGATCAAATGTCATATAAGTCTTGTTTCTTTTAAAGGATCCTGTAGAGTGGTCTACCGTACAGCGAAAACGCTCTTCTGACGCGTCTAGTGCCGTCAAGTTTGTATCAGCCGTCATGAAGTTCAGAATGGTACGGAGATGGGTCGCCAGGTCTGATTTCAGGTCTTCGTAATGGATGATTAGGGTAATGTTAAAGAAAGAAACTGCTTCATCCAATTTCTCGCTCCATTTTGAAATCTCTCTCCTCACAAATTGGTTCCAAGCTACAACAGTAAATGCAGAATATTCGTATATAAAAATTTCGATGATTATGAATTCAACTTCCCTGACATAATTGAAGAGAGCAGAAAATACTTAAGGCCTATTTCTTTTTACGAACCTTTAAATTTTTCTGCCAAGTTTGTATTCTTTTGCATTTAGAGAAAATATCTGTTCCTTTTTAAAACTTTATTGAGCTCTTGTTCTGGTTCTACTAAGTCTGTAGAAGACATAAAAATCAAGCAGTAATGGTTTTACGAACGTTCTCTCTCTCTCTCTCTCTCATAGGCATATCAAACAAATCCTTGAGAACTTGTTTCAACTGAAAAAATATGTAGAAACAAAATTATACCTGTGACGTGGAAATATTTTTCACTGGTCTGTCCTGTATGACTATGTGCTAATCGTCTTTTCTTCTCAGCGATCATTGCATCATATGGGTTCCTCATCAATAGAATCGCCCGTTGCCATGGGATACGACGAATATTATCTTCTATTTGATGCATCTTGACAACGCTTGTACATCCACAATTGGGCATTTTTAACTGTCCTTTGAAACCTATAGAGAGGAATCGAAAATCACCCTCATCAGATTCATGGGCAAATATTATAAACCGATAGAGATACTGCTTAAATAATAGTAAGTAAGTAAAGTTTATTTAACCATAAAATGAAACATGTGCATACAAATGAGTAACATAGTAAACATAATACGATAAAGGACACCCTTAGAAGCAAATTGCTTGTGGTGGGGCCTTAAAAAGAAAAAAAAAACTACACATAAATTATACAGTTTAAAAACTTTAAGATAACATGATACAAACACACATGCACGCTCACACATATACATTCACACATACATTCAAAATATCCTCCTCTGCTCAAACTTGTTTACATAAATCATTAAATAATAACCGTGTACATCGTACTTTAAATCGAGATAGAGTTGTACTTTCCTTAATATCATTACTCAACTTATTCCATTCCTTAATGCCATTTAAATAGAAAGAATTTTGTGCATTTTTCGTACGAACTTTAAATAAATGTAAATCATTTTTCTGACGAGTAGGATTCGAGTGAATATCACTATTAATAACAAAGTTTATATTAGGAATTTCTGGCAATAGGCGATTTTGAAATTTAAACATAAATATGCGAGTATTAAACTGAATCAATTCAAAAATTGGGACTACGTGTGTTTTAACAAAAAGTGGCCGTGATGGGGCTAAATAATCAGATTTAGTCATAATACGCACGGCTCGTTTCTGAATCTTATCTGTATATGATGCATAAGTATTTCCCCAAATAATATTACAATAATTTACATGTGGAAAAATCATACTATTGTACAACATTAGCAAAATATTTTATGGTAAAACATGCTTTAGCTTTGACAAAACTCCAATACTGCGAGATAATTTCAACGAAATGCAATCAATATGAGGTTTCCAATTAAGTGATTCATCAATTATAATACCAAGAAACTGAACACATTCTTTCCTTTTTATAATATTTACATCAATTTGTATAGGCAATAAATCACTAGGGATCTTCCGATTTCGAGAATGAAATATTACATAATTTGTTTTATCATAATTGAGAAATAATTTATTACATTTGAACCGATTATCCAATTTTATCAATTCATTATTCATAATATCAACTAAAGTAAATACACTACTATGTGATGTAATAACTGAAGTATCATCTGCAAAGAGTGTAAAATTTAATACATTTGAAGATTGTTTAATATCATTTATATAAATTAAAAACAAAAGGGGCCCTAGAACTGATCCTTGAGGAACACCACATATTGCACCCCTTTTAGTCGAACAGACACCGTCAACCACCACATACTGCTTTCTATCACTCAAATAGTTTTCAATTAATTTCAATGGAAGGCCGCGAATACCATAATAATTTAATTTTTGAGCAGTATGTGGTGGTCAATGGTGTCGAACGCTTTTGACAAATCCATAAACACACCCAACGAATAATTACCCTTATCCATATTCTTAATTACATAATCTGTTAAATGAAGTGCTCCCAAACATGTAGAATAAGTCTTCCTAAATCCAAATTGCTCATTAATCAATAAATTGTTTTTAACCAAAAAATCATAGATTCTTTTTTGCAGGATTTTTTCAAATAATTTTGAAAAATTGATAAAAGAGCAATTGGTCTATAATTTTGTACATTTTCTTTTTCATTTTTCTTATAAATGGGTATAATTTTAGCTAATTTCAAACTGTCGGGGAATACTTCAGAAGAAATTGATTTATTAAATATATCACATAGTGGATCAACAATAAAGTGTATACATTCTTTTACTACTCTGGGAGAAATACCATCCGGGCCACTTGCTTTATATGGTTTCAATGTTTTACTAAGTTCAATTATTTCAAATACTGTAGTAGGTTTTAAAAACAATGTAAAATCATTATGATTTTTTAAATAATCATTAAATGAAGTATCTACAACAGAAATAATTAAAGGTTTAAAAACAAAAGTCTTGTATCTTTATTCGTGATGGCCACAGGCAGGTCTTAACGTGTAACCCATAGCGTATCTAGAAACGAATGATTTAAGCATAATGTTAAACTTTTACCGACGATGCTATTATACAGTGCTCATCCACCCCAAAAATGTAGCTCCTGATTTAACATTCATAGCCAATGTGACTTTGAAATCGATTTCTTGAATAAGAGTAACTTATTTCTGTCCAATTATCTGATACCCTCTTCATAATATTTCTGCCACGGATAAATAAGCATCTTATTATTACTTATACCGCGCTTTGGCCCAAAGCGCTTACAGTGAATGAAAATAAAAATTACATAAATACATAGAATAAGAACGAACAGTCTTACAACTACAAACTGCAAAAAAGATGTGTTTTTAAGGCCTTTCTGAAGGTAATAATTGATGGAGATTGCCTACTTCTAAGTGGTAGATCATTCCAACATTTTGAAGCAGATACAATAAATGTCCTATCACCGGCTAATGTGCGGCATATGTGAGACGGAGAGGATCACTGGCTTACCTCAATGCCCTCGTTCGTTCGTTTGTGTCTCCTTAGATCAGTTATGTAAAGTTCCTTATTATTGTATTACATTAAATTAAGTTCTTCCATCGCCCTATTGCTGCAATGGCGGTTTCATTAACAAGGGCCAGGTCTTCATCTGTGCAACCCGTTCCGCCGCACTGCAAGATGTGGTCCATCGTCTGAGTCTCTCCGCAGTCGCAGAGAGTATCTCCTTCATGGGCATAGCCCCATATTGACCTTACACCGCCCCATTCTCGTACGCATTCGATTTAGGCATTGCCACTCCGGCCACTTCAGGTTAAGTCCTTTGAAGAGTACGGGCTTGGCTGATGGTGGAGGATTCTGTTCAGATGGTGGGACAGGATCTAGGAAGCAGTGTCGGGATATAAGTCGTTTGTGGGGTTGTAAGTATCCGTGGCATGTGTCTGTCATCTGTCGCCTGCTTCATCCGTTCCTTTAGGCAGGTGGTTAGTTCGCCTTTGGTTAGGAGATCCAATGCCAGCGAGGTGATATATCTCCTCAACTTTTGTTGGTTTCAGGCAGCCTGTTATCTTTCGATATGTGTTATTGAGAATCCATGACACATGCTCCGCCGACGATTGCTCCGACGTCAAATGCTCCGCCGACAGTTGCTCCGCCGACAATTGCACCGCCGACATGTGCTCCGACGACATGTGCTCCGCCGACATTTGCTCCGACGACATTTGCTCCGCCGACAATTGCTCCGCCGACAATATTGCTCCTCCAAAAGCTCCTGCCAAAAGTGTCTTGTCAAATTCAAATGCTCCAACATTGCTCCTACCCCAAAGTATCCCGTTAAAGACAAATGCTCCGCTAACGTAGCAGGAGTGCCCCGTAAAAGACAAATGCTCCCTTTTGCAACGAAAACAAGATAGGAAGAAAGGAAAAGAAAAGAAAAGAAAAGGAGAAGAAAACATTTAAAAGAAAAGGTCAAGAAAAGAGAAAAGAAAAGGCTAAAGACAAGGGAAAAGGGACACAAAATACAATATATAAAGATTCAATTTCCATATTTTAGCATTGGCCTATAACTTGGTGTCGGGACGGTGTCGGTATAATTAATGACGGTAAATCGATTATAAATATTACCTTAAATAATATTGTGCCCAAGAAACAAAAAAATAAATCATTAATTGTGGGAAAAAGGTCGATTCAAGGTTGCGAAAACTTTTTCTATTTACTTAAAAGCTTCTGCACTTGCTACCCCCCCCCCCCCCCCACTCCCCCCCCCCCTCCCCCCCCCCCCAAAAAAAAAGGATTGCGTCTTTCGCAAAGGTTTATCACTTTTTTTTTCCATCAGTGTCTTCTAATCGGGGAATTAAAACGCATCCCCCTTCTCTGTCGGCGGAGCAAATGTCGGCGGAGCAATTGTCGGCGGAGCAATTGTCGGCGGAGCAAATGACGTCGGAGCAAATGTCGCGGAGCAAATGTCGCGGAGCAATTGTCGCTTTTTGCGGAGCATTTGTCACCGGAGCATGTGTCGGGTTACCGTTATTGAGTGTGGTGGCAAGCTTCTTATGGGCTGATCTGCTCCAAACTGGGCAAGCATATTCTGCGGATGACATGCAGAGGGCAACAGCTGCAGTTTGTACAGTTTTGGGGTCAGCGCCATAGTGTGAAGATGCTAGCTCAATGCCCTGGCAAGTGTATATACATTCAAACAGGTATCTAAATATTGTGGAGCTTGATTATTGAATATTTTTAATATTTTTAATACAAACAAGAGTAATTTAAACATTATTCTTGGTTTCAAAGGAAGCCAGTGTAATGATCTCAAGAGTGACTGAGATGGAAAGTCCCTAGAAAGCTGTAAACAAAAGTGTTGTCGAAAGCGCCTTTTACCACGTTTTGACTTAACCCGTACAGAACTAGTACATTTGTAGACAAACACAAGACAAAATAACACCACAATATAATTTCAAGTTTTAACTCATCATTTATTAACCAAGATGTCAAATTGAAGTGCGTCTCCCATAGATTTTTGTACAAAACATTAGAAATATTCAATTTGGGGCCTTCTATTAGTCAATGGATTCAGACTTTCTATAATAAAAACAAGTCTTCAGTTTACATCAATGGTTATTTATCTGAACGTTTTTCTATAAGTAGAGGTTGCAGACAAGAAGTTCCGTTATCGCCATATTTATTTGTGATGTGTGCAGAAATTTTGGCCAATAAAAACAAGAAAGAAATTATTGTGGTTTGAGGATGGCTGTTTCACATCTTTAGGAATAATTTTTTCTTTAAATTTAGATGACATGGTATCTTTAAATTATATGCCAGCTTTGAATAAAGTGAAACGACTAATCCGAGTTTGGTCAAATAGGAACATAACTCCATTAGGTAAAGCAACTCTTGTTAAGACACTTTTTCTGTCACAATTTAATTACTTATTTCTATCTTTGCCAAACCCGTCACCATTGTTCATTAAAGAGCTTGACAAACTCTTATTCGGTTTTTTTGTGGAGAAGGAAACCTGATCGTATCAAAAGAAGTCAGATGTGTAACTCATATATGGATGGAGGTGTGAAGATGGTTAAAACAGAATGTTTCTTTACTTCGCTAAAAAATAACTTGGATACGAAGAATGTAAAACGGATTCATTGACGGTATATGTTTTAACTCATTTCTGAGCTCTGTTCCATTCTCAGATTGTAATTTTTTACTTTACGGTTATAGTTATTTAGAAAAGCATATTGATTTGATAACTAATCCTTTTTGGAAGGATGTAGTGTCTTCGTGAATTTGTGTAGAATTATGAGAAATCATGGATCAAATATCATATTCCTAATAATTTTCTGATCTTCTTGAACTTTGGTCACCCCATCATTTTATCATCAAACAAAACAAAATATGAATTTCGTGGTGATAAAAATAGTCAAACATCAATTTAAATTATATGATTATGATTAAAGGTATTACAAAGTTTTGATATTGGGTCATGAATTTGGTTCAAATGAACATCTTGGAAGCATATGCGATTTTACAATATTCAGTGATCGTTGTCGCGGTTGAAATCGAGTCTAGAGTGATGAAATTGTAAATAATAAACTCTTTATGTTGTATAGCTCCCTCTCAAGGCTGATATTACTTCAGCTCTAAAACAATGTTTCTTAACTACAATCGTCCGATCTGCTATTCCCGTTTGAAAATTATATATCAGAACTGCATATTCTGAAATTTTCATGGTCGCAGCTACCATGGAATGGCCTTAGGCGCTATTTGAAATATTTGAAATTTACTGGGAGTACCGGTAAATTTTGATTATTCAATTTGCTCGAAAGCGGAAGTTTTTTTAGGGACTACATTTTCTAGTGCTTATACTACATCCACAGTGGCATCTTCTTATTACTATAGCTTTGCATTAACTTTAACAGATGAACACTGTGCTGGATTGGGTTATAATTAACAGCAACATGTCTGGAAGCACTTAAAAGGTAAATGTAGCCTACATGCAAAATCAGAACTGCTCGTTTTTATTCATATGAAATTATTAATTTATTCTATTTTCATCATTTTTGTTTTGAGGGAAAGGGGGGAGGGCTTAAAAATTTCAGACTTTGGTTTTTATAGCTACTCACCACTACGAAATAGATCATTGTCAGTATGTATACTGCCCGTGTAGATACCAGTAGCACTCTCTATCAGGTAACGTACCCAGGTGTTTCCCGAGCCTGGGTAACTGAGAAGCGCTATGCTAGGTAAGGTGTTAGCTTGTGCAAGGTGAATCCCCTCAGGCCATGCACAATGATATGAAGCGACTGTCCCTTTTAGTAAAAAGAAGAAAGGTAAAGGAAATTAAGAATTATTACTGAACATGAAATAGTCTCAATTCTAAGAGAGTTTGCTAACAAACTGGTTTTTTATTGCTCTGTGTAAAAGATATGGGGTGTTTCATCAAGCCTTCAAATCGATCTTAAAATCGAAGGAATCTATTTTAAAGGTATAGACCGGTAGTGGTAAAATTGCGGTTCAAGGGGTTTGGGTGCAAAATATCCATTCAATATTGTTTAAATATTGCCTTCAGAGGTTTAGATGGCAATACTTCAACCTAAATTCGCAAAGAGAGCAAAAACATAATGCCCAAAATGTTCAATGTTGAAGTGTATGCGCGATATCTATTCAGGCCGGATCGATATGATAATTAGTAGGCGGTTTCCCCGCAAAATTTGATTCATCACGTATTAGTCAAAACACATTCTTTTACATGATTGGTAATATTATAAAGAGCTTCTATTTCATTTTTTGAGAGGGGGCGTATCTTAAACTGGTCTATACCTGTAATGGCCTAATTAAAATAGATTTTTTTTTTTTTTTTTTTTTTTTTTTAATCGAAATTAATTATAAGTTGATACAACACCCCCCCCCCCCCCCCACAGGGCTGTTTCTTACCTGAGTTCACCATTCCACATATAAAACTTATTTGAATCAATGCACAAATTAGAAATCAATCGGTATGTCGTCAATATTGTCCGATATTGTCCGATAAAGCATTTCTATAAACATTTTCTTCCAGTAATTGAAAATAGATTATTTTAACATTTTTCTTTCTCAAACTGTTCCTGTTTAAGCCAAAATGGGATCTGACGTCTTTTTTATCATTTATTCTTTTCGCGGAAGACTCCAATTAATAAGTGCAATGAGTAAGTTGTAACCTTTTGTTTCTCCTCATGTCATGCTTTTACTCTATTCTACCTTGATCTTGCCTTATCATAATTATTGTATTGGAAGGGCGCTATTCAAGAAGGGCGCTATTCAACTTCACTTGAAATGGTTACGACCTTTTCCAGAGAGCTGAAAATCCCTTGTTTTTCGAAATTTGGAAACCTTTTTACTTGAAATATTGTATTGAAAGACGCTTTGAACATCTATACGATCTACCAACCTATATCCTGGACTCGGATGGTAACTCTGAACTTGAATTTAACTGGATTTTGTATTTGTCAACTGCCCCGCCCATTTCTGGATTTTGAATATGGCGGCAATTGCACACAGTACGTCATACGCTGGGAAAGCTGGACATGAACTCCCAACAGCTACGCACTTTGGAGGTAAGCCAGTGTTTGTTAAACATAAAGACATCCCAACGATTGATGACAAAGTGATTACAAATGAAGAGATTTTCAAATGTCTCTGTAAAAGTGTGCCTAGCTGTGATATCAAAGGAATTCAGAAAATCGGAGGTCTGTGGAGGCTGTATGTAGAAAATCAGGACAAGAGAATCAAGATCATTACGAATGGACTGAATGTACGGAATGTAAACATTGCCGTGTATGACAAAAACCCATTTCTTAGAGACGAAAATGAAAATAGTCTTCGCCTTCTGATTAGGGACATACCACTATCTGCCCATGACTCCCTGATCATCGATGAACTCGAGAGACTAAAGTACAAGGTTTTGGGGACTGTTAGCTACCAACGCCTCCGCGTGGATGGGCGTTTGACAGATTGTCTAACAGGAGACAGAGTTGTGTATATTCAGCAACCATCTACCCCCCTCCCCCGAATCATGAATTTTGGCCTTTTTAAAGGCAAGATCTTCCACTATGGCCAACTCCCGTCAACTACGAGACCTAAAGTTGTATGCTCGAGATGTCTGAGCGAAGGTCATCATCGCTCCCAGTGCAGTGGCCCTGTAGTGTGTCGCCGTTGCAATCAACCAGGACACATCCAGCAAGACTGCACCAGAGATGATACCCCAACAGCTCCGTTACATACGCAAGATCCTACTAGTAAACCCGACACCCCAGCTATACCAGCAGCCGTAGCCGCAACTGCCCCACACGTTCTAGCCAGCATCGAGAAACTCGTCGCATCTGGAAGACAACAAGCGACAATAGAATCGTCTCACAACTACCCATCGCACCATGACTACCAGACGCGCGCTCAGTCAAAGATTACGCAATTTCTGCACGGAGATAGTAGAGAGTCACCCCATGGAGCCGCTGAGGGAGTCGAAGTAAACAAACCGGATAATGTGTCATCCTCTTCCGCTAACAAGTTTGCTCCTCTCGCTAGCAATCCTGATTCCTATGTTTCGCCCTCACGTACAGATGCTTCAAGCAATGTCTCTTGATGCGATGTCGATGACGGCAGCGAAGAAGAAGCCTCCGAAATATCTTTGGAATCACCCGAGTTGCCAATACGCCGAGTGAAAGATGATACAGATAAGAGTAAAAAGAGGAAGCAAAGGTCGACGAAAAAACCACCGAAGAAAAAATGATAGATATGTCAAACAAACTTATTTCAATTTGATTTTTGTTATACAATCTTCCTTTTTCATGTAAATGTCGAATTGTCATTTCTTAAGTTTAAACGTTCGCGGTCTTAGAAATAAGGAAAAACGAAGTCAAATTTTTTTGTCAAAATGGTTTAGACATCAAAAGGGACACATATTCTTTGTACAAGAAACTTATTGGACAGCCGACATTGAAAATATTGTGAAAAGTGAGTGGCGTGGGCCGTGTTATTTTTCACACGGCACAAATCACTCCAAAGGAGTTGCTATATTATTTGATGAACACCTAGACATAGATGTCACTAGTATAGAGCAGAGTGGTGATGGAAGAAAGTTGTTACTAAAAGTTAAAATGGAAACCTTTTTATTGACAATGGTAAACATATATGCACCAACTAAGAAAAAGCAAAGAGAACGGTTTTTTAGAAATCTGAATACTTTCGTATCAAATTCTTGTGAAAAGTATGAAAAATCTAAATTAGTAATGGCAGGAGACTGGAATTGTGTACTGAATGTCAAGAAAGACACTTTACGTGTTTAGGGAACAAACCGTTCCTATTACAAGAAACCGCTAAATTTTAGTAGATTGTTAAAGAAATACGAATTGTGTGATATCTGGAGGAAAATGAATATTAATACTATTCAGTTTACCTGGAGAAATAAATATCTAAAACTTGCTTCAAGATTAGATTATTGGCTGGTCGATAAAAGTTTTTTAGGGAGAGTTGTAAATACAGATATCAGACCATCAATAAGAGCTGATCACAACGCAATTTCTTTAAAAATCAAAACAAAAACTGTTGAAAAGGGTCCAGGTTACTGGAAGCTGAACAGTCGTGTTCTGTCTGATGACTGTTATCATAAAAATATTTGTGATGTTATTAGTTCAATGAATTCTCAAAATATGAGTCCCCTACAGAAATGGGAACTTTTGAAAATAATGATACGTGAATTTACACAAAAATATTGTAAACATAAAGTTGCAGATCAAAAGAATAGAAAAGGGTTTTTAGAAATGAAGCTTAATGTATTACAAAAATGTATTGATAACCAAAGTGGAAATAATGATAATGAAAACGAATATAGGGTCATAAAAGAAGAGCTGGAAAATATATATAAAGTAGAATCTAAAGGAGCTGGTATCAGAGCTAAGGCAAGATGGATGGAAGAGGGAGAAAGAAGTACTAAATACTTTCTTAGCTTAAAAAAGAGAAATGCTAGCAGAAAAAACATAAATCAGCTGAAGACAGGAAATGGGAAAAGAATTATTGAAAAACAAGACGAAATATTGAAAGAAACCGTTGATTTTTATAGTAAGTTGTATACTAAAGAAGATATTGATGTTAAAAATGCAGAAGATTATATTTTTTCTCAAAATATTTCATCTCTCTCTGACGATGAAAATAAAATATGTGAAGGTTTATTAACACACAGGGGATGTAAACAAGCTGTATTCGCAATGAAGAAAAACAAAACTCCAGGCTCTGACGGAATAACCGCGGAATTCTATCAGGTGTTGTGGAATGAGATCTGTGATATTTTAGTTGCCGCTCTTAACGAGTGTTATGCTAATGAGAAAATGTCGGATACTCAAAGGAAAGGAATAATTACTTTGATATACAAGAAAGGGGATCACCGAGAGCTGAAGAATTGGAGACCGATCACATTGCTGAATAGTGATTATAAAATAATTGCAACAGTGCTTGCAAAACGTTTTCAAAAAGTAATTGGTAAAATTATTCACGAAAACCAGTCGGGTTACATAAGAGGTCGTCTGGCGGCTTGTAATGTAAGACTTACTAAAGATATCATTGAATACATGACAAGGAACGGTAAAAACGGTGCTCTTATGATGGTAGATTTTTCTAAAGCTTTTGATGTAATTGATGTAACTTTTATAAAAAAAATGCCTGAGTAAATTTAATTTTGGACCTGTTTTCCAGAAGTGGGTAACAATTTTATACACAAATATTTCAAGTTCTGTAATTGTAAATGGTTGGTTATCTGAAACTTTTAGTGTTCTGAGAGGAATACGCCAAGGGTGTCCCCTCTCGGCCTTATTGTTTGTAATGGCCGCAGAATTAATGGCAAATAAAGTGAGAGAAAATAAGGAAATCAAAGGTCTAGATATTGATGATAAAGGTATTGATCTGAAATTGCTGCAATATGCAGATGACACCTTATTTTATGCATCTGATATAAATTCTTTTGAAAATATTTTAATCGAATTAGAGGTTTTTGGCATAGTTGCAGGACCGAAGTTAAATAGAGAAAAGACTGTCTTGATTTGGATTGGAACAGCCTGTCAACGATGGTCGTTATCTTGTTTTGGCTTACATTGGACAGATGGATGAGCCAGTAAAATACTTAGGACATTATATCGCACCTGATCTGCAGTGTGCTTTAAAGATAGATTGGGAAAATAAATTAGAAAAAATGCAAAAACTGTTAGATAACTGGAGAAAAAGAAACCTGACTTTGTTTGGAAGACTGACTATTATCAAATCACTTGCAATTAGTCAAGTTATCCATTTAATGATTGTTGATACAATACCGTCTACTTTTTTTATAAAACTTAATAGCCTGATATTTAAATTTCTTTGGAAAAGTAAAATTGAAAAGGTAAAACGATGTATTGTTACTGAGGATTATTGTGAAGGAGGAATACGAATGATTGATGTTAAAAAGCAGATGTTTAGTTTTAGGCTGAAGTGGCTTGGGATGCTTTTAGATAATACAACAGGAAATTGGAAAGACATGTGTAAACATTGGTTTGACTGTTTGGGAGGGCTGCATCTACTGCTCAATTGCAATTATACTGATTATACTTTAAATCTCTTAAAACTTAGAAATGTCCCATCTTTTTATATAGAAATATTACATGCATGGTACCTCATAAACAAATACACATCAGCTGAATGTCAGACACAGAAACATGTCGACGAAAATATTTTATGGTATAATCAAGATATTGTTTTTTGAAAAGAAAATGTTATTTTATGAAGATTGGTATAAAAGTGGTATTATATATTTAAATGATATCTTTAAAAATGGTACTTTTGTTTCAGTAAATGAATTATTTATCCGCCTTAAAACTAGGAGAAGTAAACAATTTTTGATTTTTGACTATACAAAGTTACAAAAATCAATTCCAAAAATTTGGATAA